TGTGAAACAAAGATTTTCAGTAAGTTGGCACCAATTAGGCATTCAGCTGCACTCAGAAGAAAAACATGCAATTGTATAATCCTAACCTAAAGCAAGTAATCTCTATAACTTTGCTGCTTACTTCTGCATGCTCTTTCACAGGTTGATGCTTTCAAAAGTTAAAACAGTAGCTGAAATAATTACATCGTATTATACTTCATCTAAGCCCATTTATGTAGAGAAAATGTAATAACATTTTTGTTGAAGATTTAGAAGTTGCCTTCTTTCCTTCCCTCTAATGGCCCCACCAGCAATCCCCAGAAAGTGGAAAATAATGAAATTATTCAAAGTGGTGTTGATATTTGGGAAAACGTTCAGACTTGCCCCCGTCGTTTGTGATTTGATCTAAATATATCCTTTGTTTCGGCTCATTATGCCCGTCACCAATGGCCCTCCAAGATGTGCTGACTGGACTGATTTGTCATTGATATTTTACCACATTGGCAAGATTTACAACACCCATATCTTTTCTTCCTCCCCCACTTCCTCCCCTTCCCCCTCCAGTCCAGCCCTTCTTCCACCACCACCTACCTCACCATTATCACCACCACCATTATAGGGATGATCATTGTTAAAGAAATGGACTTTGGGCTTAAATCAAACCCAAACACTAGCTCATGAGGTGAGGATTGTCCAGACCATATTAACGAGACCACCAATCCCTTAAAGCACCAATGTGGGACTCTTCACACCACCCCTCACGCCCAGGGCCGGACATGTGGAGCGTGGGCAATTTAATATGGAGGCTCAACATTGAGAAACAAGAATTTGGATCGATCCTGCTCTTATACCATGTAAAGAAATAGATCTTGGGTTTAACTCAACCTCAAAAGCTAGCTCATGAGATGAGAATTACCCAAGCCATATTAAGGAGATCACACATCCCTTAAAGCACCGATGTGGAACTTTCACAATCATCATCCACCCCCTCCATCTCTTCTTCATCGAGATACACTGCCACAATTATTAACACCAGCATCCTCCTCCTTACTAGTTACTACCACACCACTACCGCCTCCATTAACACACGGAAATAAATACCTCAATGAATGCCCAAACAAAAGGTCCTACCAAAAACATCCTTTGCATAAAGATACCATCTTTTTTTAATTAAAGGTGGTATCCGGACCAGCTTGCGCACATCTCGACTAATTCTACAGGGTACCTGCTACCTCCCACCCATCACAAGTTCCGGATAATTCTATTCACCAAGACTTAGTCAGATGGGAGAAATACTATATCACAGAAAATTAAAATAAAATAAAATAAATTGGTGGAAGAACCCAAAGATCCGTCTCTCAGCATGAAATTACATTAGCAAAAGGGTGTCATATCCGCCTCTCACCATGAAATCCATCCACATCAAGGAAAGGGGGTCAAATCCATCAATTTATGTAGGGATCTCTTAATAAGAATTTAATGGCTGATTTTGGGGTGCATGAATCCGGGTTTCTATTTTCACAACGAGCTCCTTTTTACATATAATTGTTGGGTTTTTTGTAGATGTAGATGAACGAAAAAATAGAATTGGGGGATATATCTTGTGAATGGGTGTGAAGGAGAAAGGATTGTGGAATAACGTAAGGATCATGGTTTTTGGCGGTGTTTGTTGAAGGGAGTAGGAGAGGTGATGACGATAGAGGACGAAGATGAGGAAGGGCTAGTGGTGATGGAAGGGGGAGGAAATGGTGGTAGCGGTGGTAGCAATGGTAAAGGGAAGGAGGGAAGAGGAGGGGTAGGAGAGGGGAGGGTAGTGGGAAAAGGGGATAAATGGAAATTGTTTCCACCATGGCAAATTATTCCCACATGGAAACCACGTGGTATGTCACATCAGATCCATGTCAACCCCCACCAGTCCCCTAGGAGGGTCACTAGTGACAGGGACATAAATGACCCCATCTTTAACGCGAGGGCATCTATGAGCCGACGGGTAAAAGAGCATATTTAACCCAAATGGCAAAAGATAGGGGCAAATTTTGACTTTTTCCCCTTGATATTTTATTCATATCAGATCGTTAGAGTAATTAGATTTGCACCAAATTGTTATTATCTTATACACTTACGAGAACATCCTAACATGATTGCTATGTTGCGCAAACTCTTGAAAACAGCTGTCACACCAGTGTCGGATCTTCCAAAAATGCACTAATTTTGGAGGATCCGAGATGCACCTGGCAACATTTTTGGAAAGTCCGAGCATCATAGTATAATTGTTTGCAAAATATCAAGTAGACCTCGCAACATCTCCTTAATCCCATCTGAAAGCAGTTATCTTTAGTCGATCTTGCGCATTGCTACAACTCAGAACACAATAGTAATGAATCAGATTAATGAAGGCTCATGCTTACTTCAAAGGAACTTGTTATGAATGGAGAGAGACTAAAGTAATAGACTTTGGCACATTTTGCAAGAAAGGTTGCCAAGTGACAATCCAATTCAGTTAGAATCATCTTTCCTTTATTTGGATATTTAATATTTTGCAACAACCAAGTCGGATATGGTCCAATCACTGTACAGATTTCTGCCATTGGGAAATAAATGCAATTAAGTAGTTTAAAGGACTTTATCAAAATAATAATATTAATGATGATGATGATGATTAGATTACATGTTTTCCTATCCTCAAAAGCAAAAAGAATATTCTCTTTCAGCATTATTTACCTCGATGGTTGAAATCTGAAGGAAACAAATTATATAACTTGTAGAGAATGTGTAAGACAAGATAGACCTAAATCATGGGGGAGGAAGTGTCTCAAAAGACTTACAATCTAACGGGGTCCACAAATACTTACCAAAAAGTAGAATACAGTGCAACAAAAAAGTTCTATGCAGGCAATACCATCTAGTTGGGATTAAGGCTATACACTTTTATTAGGTCCAAGGTTTGATAGAAATTCTTTTTGTCTGTTTAGAGATTTGTGTGTTCGATGAAAATATAGAGAATCTCTAGTGTTAAAGAACCCCAAATTATTAAACACATAAATCAAGTCCAAATGGAACCTAATTGTGAGAAATTGTCCAGCCGACTCCAACTAGCTCTGGTTTGAGGCGGCGTTGTTCACTTCTTGTTGCAAGATCATTTGCAAATAAGGTTAAAAAACATATTTTAACTTGTAATGACAATACTCAGGGTTTGAATCAAGAGTGTACTAATTAATACTTTCTTTTTGTGGTGAAGAATTGTCAACTAAATAGAAGCTATATACAAGTTCATAACTAACAAGAACAAATATATAGTACCTCAACTCGCGGTTTTTTCCCTCGAAGCAGAGCATCAACACTTCTTTCAGTCTGTATTTTGTTCCAGAAAAAGAAAAAAAGCTATTAGGATTTGAAGGGTGTGGCTTGATGGTCAATGAACTGGGAGGAAAACCATGAGGTTTCAGGTTAAAATCCCAAGGGAGGAAAAACACACTAGGTGATTTCTTCCCATCTGCCTAAACCTTGGTGGGCAGAGTTACCTGGTACCTGTGCTGGTGGGAGGTAGCAGGTACCCGGTGAAATAGTGGAGGAACGTACAAGCTGGCCCGGACACCACCATCATAAAAAAGAACTCGAATAGTCGCCAGAAAGATTACAATAAATAAAGTTATGGCATATAAGTCATAGATTTCCTCTCACCCCTAGCAGTGAAAGAACCTATATTACTCTTTGACAGTAAGCTAGTATGCAAGAAGAACAAACAAGGGGATCAAAGAGGGTTATCAAAAAAAAAGAACAAGGGGATCAAAGAGGAGGGAAATATATGCCAACATGTCAATACGGAGGCAATGCTGTCTAGCATGTGATGTTTTCTATATGAAAAAAACTATTGCCTCATATTGGTGACTAACCCGGTGCAGAACCCAGGAGTGTCTCTCCCTTATTTCAATCAAAAAGGGAAAGGGCGACGGAGCTTTCCTCTCAAGAACACTTTTACTACAGTTCCTGATCCGTGCTTCCTGATCACTTAGAGTCNCCCCCCAAATAAAAAGCCAAAATCCAATACTAGATCAAGAAATTGTAAATGTTTAGTTCTACTATGTTGTACACGATTTGGGCGTGGGCGTGAGATCTGCATTGGATTTGGTCATCCTTACTTAGGTGCTTCGACTACACCTATTGCAAAGAAATATAGGTTGATTTGCTATGTGGTTTGACTTCAGGTGTATGTCATATATATGTACATATTCACACAAAGTATTAGAGCACCTTGCTATTATACGAAATAACTTATGAATAAAGAGTAGGTACTTACAAAGAATTTAATTATACTAGCTTTTTTTTAATAACTTCAATTCCAATCCTAAGATTTAGGTGATGACAAATCTGACTTCTAGATTAGCATCTGTGTCGAGTGCCCACACCCATATCCGAGCAACAAAGGTTATCTACATCTTTATACCAATCCTAAAACTACATAAATCACTTATATTTCCTACAAATTTCTGATGCTCAGGAAAATCAATAAAAGAAATGAGAGGCAAATATAAATTCGCTATATATTCCCATGATCCAAACCAGTAATTTGCCATTCAAGTCTAACTACCAAAAGCAAAGAAGAAATTTCCGATTATTAAACTAATCTAAACAAAAGAAAAAGGGGTAAAAAAACGTTTACCATAAAAAAAAAAGGGACAAAAACAGTGCCCTTTCGTCAGAGTTAGGTCTATGTAGAATATTAAGAAACACCAAGTCTGAATGCTATACTGAAAGGATTTCCATGTTCAACTAGAGAATTGACAACTATAAGTAAATGGACTGCTATGATCACCAAGGCCCCCTAACCTTCCAACGCTCAACTTAGAAGAACCAGCTAAAAAGGAATCCCAATGCCTTGAAAGTGGAGGCTGAGAAGAAATATGCTTTTATCAACCATCTTTCAGATGCATTTAAGAATGACATTGCAATGTCCCAGAAGCAGAAATGAGGATTAAAGATATACCGACATGTCTTCAGCTTCGTTTGTGTTTCACCTAATGGAATGAAGGAGAATAAGTAACAGAAACTTCAATAACAGAGAGCTTGATATAAATAGGAAAAGAAACTGATGAATTGATATTAGAGCAAAGCAACTGGAGTTAGTTAAATAGGCAATAAAAAAAAAATGGCTGGAGATGGAATTCATCATCCCCACCTAACAACCCTAAGAAAGTAAAACAGGAAAAGGAAAACTAAGAAATACGACGTCCGATGACCACTTAGGATGACGAAAGCCCCACAGAAATCCTGAGAAGTATCTGCTTAAAGACCGAAGCATGTATGCCTGAATGAAGAGCTACACAAGTAACTCTTTTTCCTTTCAGACGGCTGTAGTGAGGAGGATAAGAGACCATTATGTAAGTGGGAAAAAGATTTGTACCCCTATAGGGCTCTGAGAATATCAACTAAGTTATAAACCAGAATTTTGGAGATTTAGTAGAGAGGAAAGGAAGCATTGAACGAAGTCAATGAATGTAAGTTTAGGTGGTTTTATGGGGACTGGATTTCAATTGAAGCTGGAGAACCTTATGGACGCAGCTTGTTGAGCGGATAAGACAAGTATTAGATAATATCTACCTGTCGTTCAGTTTAAGGCTGGAGATGGTAGGAGAATGATTTTGCGGAAGATTAATGGAGCAAGGGACTCTTAACAACATGTAACCAGTTCATACCCTGGTTTCTAAGCAGCATACCACAGTCCAGGCCTCTTAGTGAATGTAAACTAATGAATTATTTTAAATCCCGCATTAACAAGAACAAAATATTGAAATTTCTTTTTTCCAATTCATGCACTTGTCTAATTGGAGACTTGAAGTACTGGATACTTCGGTGTTGAGAGCTGCTGACAGTTGCATCCGTTAACTAAAGTCATTTTTTTCCGGCCCCTTATAGATCTAGCAACTGCGAACTCCCTTGGAGAATGATACAGAGAAAAGCATATGTTCTAACAGAGCTTCCCTTTTTTGCTTCAGAAGCTACATGGTAATCTCTATTGACAGGTGACAGCAACCATAAGAAGAAAAGGATTCATGTGAATAGGTGTCTGTCTCTGTAAGAAGGCACAGGCGAAAGACAATCATATTTTGTGATATTTTAATTGTGCTTCTGCTTGTAAGCACCTGATGTTCATTTCTTGGGTAGTCAATTGGGTGAGCCATCATCAGTTAAAGAGTTTCAGATTTTCAATGGATGGTTACTATATCCCATTTTTCTTAATTGGTGGCTCATTAGTTCGTAGTGCAGCACCTTAAGAGTTCATGTTTATTTCTCGCTAATCTTGATGACGGAATGCCCCTCGGTGCCTTGTCTAATAGAATACTCTAACTACACATGTCAAAAGAAAAAAAAACACACAAAAACTATCAGTTCTTTCCTCTTTTTTTTTTGGATAACTGAGAGATCCCAGAGGGCCACTGGCGCAAGCTTGAAACTCGGTCGGTAATAGACTCCCTCTACCCTTCTCCAGTTAAATACCAGGTTTTTGTCTGCACAAGGTTCGAACCCATGACATGTGACTAACCCAGACATCACATGTTGTGCTCTTACCACCTAAGTTGTGCGGACTCTTCATTTTTTATGCTGAACCCGTCTCGACAGGACACTGGAACGGGTGCGGGTGCGGGACACGTTTGGGATTCAGTCAACTAACTTCGGGTACTTTGACCGGAGTCCATGGACAAATTTGGGGGGGAAATTGAGATTTTGATTTCTCAAAATAAAAGATAAAATAGATTTCAGACATGGGAAATGGCATACCTTCAATATTATAGTCCTTTTGTCTCATATTCGTTGCTTCGTGTTTCAAGCCAAACAAAGAGAAACCAAGAATTCATCTTTATAGCTCTATTTTTATAATTTTGAATTTTCTTAGCCGGACCCCAGCACCCGTATCCATACTTGAATCCGCACCCCTGAATCTTAAAATTTAGATTTTGCCGAATCTGACTCTTGGATCTGTACCCCTTGAATCTTAAAAATTTAGATTTTTTTTTTTTTTTGAAACTGGTTACTTTTCTATATTTCATATGTAGCAAAAGAGTACTTAGGTAGTACTGAAACCATATATACAAGAGTCTCTAACTATCACTGACACTCTATATTGACTCTAAAACATCAATAATGGTGTCAGTAACATTTGTGTAGATCTGATTACACCAAAAACACAACAGTAAAATAAAGTTTAACTTGATCTTCTGCACCCCATTCTCCACATTCTCAAAACATCTGGAGTTCCTCTCTTTCCAAATTGTCCACCAAATGCAAGCAGGTATAATTCTCCATCTGGTCTTGTCCTTTGCCTATAGTCCTGTTTCCTCCCAACTTTTAATAGTATCTATCACCTTCCCAGGCATGGTCCAGGAAATGCCTTTGAGGTTAAGAATAATTCTCCATAGATGAGATGTTATCTTACAGTGAAGGAAGAGATGGTTAACTGTCTCTGCTGTTTCCCCACACAAAAAGCATCTAGAACATAAAATGAAACCTTTTTTCATCAAATTATCTTGTGTAAGGACTGCTTCCTTAGCCAGTAGCCACACAAAACAAACAACTTTGTGAGGAATTTTTGTTTTCTAGATGTGTTTCCAAGGCCAATTGGCTATCTGCTGGTTGGAGTAATTTATCCTCTTGTAAGCTGCATTAACTTTGAATAAACCATTACTGCTGCCTTGCCACCATAGTACATCTTCACCTGCTTGTAATCCACTAAACTGCTCTAGTGCACAAAAGAATTCAACCACTCTTTGTGCTTCCCAATCGTTGATATATCTTCTAAAAATGATGTTCCATCCTTGAGGTGTTCACATCTCTGCAGTCTGCTATAGTCCTTTGCTGATGTAGAGCTAAATTGAAGACTTCTGAAAAAGCCACATCCAATCTGCCAACTTCATGCCAATTGTCCTTCCAAAAGCTAGTCTTATTGCCATCAAACACTTTGATCTTGGAATCATCCCTCAACTCACTCCACGGTGATCTAATGGATCTCCATAGACTAACCCCATATGGTGTAGTGACCTCCTTAGTCATCCATTTGTCTTCCTGTCCATATTTTGCTTTCATAATGTTTTTCCCACAGGAGTTGATTCTCCTTGTTGAGCCTCCACAACCATTTCATTCTAAGAGCTTTACTCTGAATCTTCAAGTTCTTGATCCTTAACCCTCCAAGGTTCTTGCCAAAAGTGAGTGCTTTCCATTTCACCAAGTGGTAGCCCTTCCTTTCTTTGTTCCCATTCCATAAAACATTCCTCCTGATGCTATCCAACCTATTGATGATCCTTGTTGGAATGGGGAACAAGGACATCATATATGTTGGAAGTGCATCAAGAACTGAGTTGATAAGAGTCACTCTGCCACCTAGAGATAGATACTGGGTTTTCCACCTGGCCAGTTTCTTTTCACACTTCTCTATAACATTGTTCCAAATCCCTATTGACCGAATCCGACTCTCGGATCCATACTCATATCGAATACCCGCACCCGAGTCCGAGCAACTTAGCTTACCACTAGACCAAAGCCCTGAGGGGCTACACACAAAAACTATCAGTTGAAATAGAAAAGTTTAATACTGAATCTAAACGACTGAAAAACTTCTTAGATCACCTCTTTAAATCAAAGAGATACAAAAGTAATATACTTGCTTACCATTAGGCAACAAAAAATAGATACGAGAAGATGCTTTAAGGATATTCAAATGATGCTGATATGGAATGTTGTGTAGGACAGTAAAATAGAGAAGATTGCTTCTTTTATTAAGGAAGTCATAAGGAGTTCCACACATACCAGATCACACAGAGTAGGATTCTTAATTATATTCTCAAGCTGCTCGCCATGAGCTGTACCAATAAGCATAACTCCTCTCTCAGCAATTGTACGGCAAGCATGAACTTCAGCTTCAGTGCCAATCTCATCTATAATGATCACCTCAGGCATGTGATTCTCCACAGCCTCAATCATAACTTGATGCTGCATCGACGGGTCTGGAACCTGCAATCTTCTTGCCCCTCCTATTGCAGGGTGGGGAATATCCCCATCACCTCCTATTTCATTGCTTGTGTCAACAATAACCTGTCACAATGATCTCTAAGATGTAAAAATTTCCTTCAGTAGCAGCACAATAAACAAAACAGTAAATAAGATTTGAGAAACAAAGCAGGAAAGCAAAACCATAAAGCCAATTGCAATGGTTAGTTAACAAACCACTCTTTTATGAAGTTCATCTGACAAGACACGAGATATCTCTCGCACAACTGTAGTTTTACCAACACCAGGTCTGTTAAAATCAAGAGAGAAAAATCAGAGAGAGACAGAATAATATTTACAGGATAGCAAGGTCTACTCAACTGTGATGAAGCCTGATGTTTATCAGCTTAGTAGGACAACTTAGAAAAGATTAAGCCACGAGCAAGTTCGATAGTTCAGTTGAGCTCATATTAGGAACCAGTTATCCAGAATCATGAGGAAGAAATTTGTTGGCATCGTGTTGATATTTTTCCAAAGAAAAAAGAGGGATAGGGAAAGAAAGAATATTGTATGCATCACGATTGATATTGTTCCAAACATAACTTTGTCTCCTAGGTTAGACCAAAGCTACAAACGAGTACAAGCTAACTCATTATCTCGAATCAGATAGGCCAGAAGGTAAGCTGCTTGGCTTCAACTAATTGCCTTAGCCAGTTCACATTCAATGACAACTTTCCAAGCCTCCAAAAAGCAATAGCTGCTGAACTGCTTAAAATATCACAGCATGCACTTCCTAAATCCACTTGATACCTAACTCATCTGGTTAACCTTGGAAATTGTGGCCACTTAAATTGGAGTTTTATTCAGTATGTTGAAATGCATGAAAATCTGGCAGTGCTAGAGAAGGGACGCAATTATTAGCTAATTTAGCAATGCAACATACCCTCTCACGTGAACACATGGAAATCCTTTTGATATTGGTGGCAGTAAGACTGAACTTAGGACCACTGCCTGCTCTAACAGCTAGTGTTTTTAAAAAGCGAAAGTGCAATAAAGCGACAAGGTCCATGGCGCATGAAGCAAAAAGTGAGAAGTGACATGCTTCTTTAAAATGAAACACTTCTTCAAAGTGAAGAGCACAGTCTATGAAGAAAAACAAAATACTATACATATATGAATTTAGTGCTATAATAGTAAAATTTTCATGATATAGCTAATTTTGATGTCAGATATACAATAATGTCAATATTAACCCAACTCCTCAAAGTTGAGATCAAACAAATTGACGGTTTCTCATAGGGATCACTTTGTGCGCCGTTGTTTGAAGTGCACAATTATCTTACGCCCATGAACTGATGGCCCTTCGCTTCGTATCCCCAACATTTTAAAAGCAACTAAGTGATGGCTTTCAATGACATTGCTGATACCATGTTAAAATCTGCTACCATCACAAAAAAAAAAACTCCACTTGTTGGAGAATGAAAATAATTATTTATTTATTTATTTTAGGTCAACAACAGATGTTAAAATAAAAGTGTATCCAATCTAACAACTTAAACTTTTAGATGAGATGGTTACCCAATTCAACAAGGTATCAGACAAAAGTCTCGCGTACAAGTTTCACTGCTATACATTATCAAAAAGAAATTCCAATTTTTTGCCCATGAAAAAGGATCGCCCCACATGAGTGGGCTTGTCGAAAACACAATTAAATAAATAAAAGTTTGCCCTGTAATAGCTTAAGTTTTTAGGTGGGGTGATCAAATAATTAAACAGGGGAAAAGAAGCAACAGTAGGTATTGACATCCATAATAGATGGATCTTTTAGGTAAAAACACAGAGATTATAAGGACAATGATAATGTTCATGGCGCAATCCGTATTTCAAACCCATAAATAAACAATTTGACTATAAGAGTTTTATGAGAACCATTATAACTCACAAATCTTCTTGTGATATTTAGAGATGACCATTTTGCTTCTGAGGTGGCATATTATGCTCACTTACCGTCCAACAAACAAAATGCTCTCACCAAAATCAAGCAAATCCCGCACCATGTCAATCCGTCCCCTGGCCCTGCCGACTCGGCAAGTCAAACCAATGACTTCCCCCTTCCTATTCCTAATTGCAGAAATGCGATGCAAAGTACCCTCAATGCCAGCTCTATTATCTCCTCCAAATTGTCCAATTGACTTGAGGACACATTGTATTTCTTCCATAGAGACCTGCTTAAAAGAAGAAACATATATAACTAAGATCTTCTAATAATCTCCTAGCATCCAGTTTTTACTTTTTGTGTTCCTTCAGCAAAAGACGAATAACAGTCAAGATTTAGACATAACTAAGCTCTTCTGATAATCTTTTAGAGTTCAATTGTTGTTTTGTATTTCCTTCAGACAAAGACATTTTAGAGTCACTCTAATACATTCATCAGATAAACAATTCAGCCTTAAGGTTCAAGACCACTACTTTCTTTCCTTTTCCTTTTCACTTCTTAGTATACTACAATATGCTTCCAGTGTTCCTAAGCAAGAAGTGCACTAGTCATCATCATGACAAGAAATGCTTCGATATTTTTCATAAAGTAGAGTAACATCAATACCTTTAGTGTTTACCTCAGTGTTTCGGAGGTATCGCCTACCAGAGTCATCTGTGTAGTGTGCTTGCGGCAAACAGCCCAAATCTAATATCACCTATAAACATTGCATAACAATTATCATGCAAAAAAAAAATTACTGATAAACTACGTCATAATAAGAAGCTTAACTTGTTAGTGGTAAGAAGATCAATCTAGTCAGATTACAAAGATGACAATTTGCAGAACACTGATCATATTTTTTTCAGTAAGAGACCTCCTCGACACCAGAATATCAGCAAAAGATACCATCTTTTGTAGGCGCAGTTAAGTTGCTGGCATGGTTAAACTATAACGCTAACAAATCAAGATCAGCTCATTGGCTAACGGTAAGATTTAAGGCAAACCAATCACTTAATTTGCTATTCAAGAGATAAAGTGAGTCAAGCTAAAATTAACAAGGAGAAATCCGGGTATTTCCTCCTTTTTCGAAGGTATCCCAAGAGTCGTGACTAAGTATTACTGAGGATTATGATGGAGAACTTCCCATCATTAGAAATAGATACCTCGAGTAGTTGATCTTGGCTGGGGTCACACGAAAGTGTGTCCCTTAAGTCACAGGGCAGAATCTGCAAAAAGAAGAAAAGGAAAAAAAATTATTAAAGTTCATTTTGAAGCACGATATTCCATTACCTAAAGCAAATATTTAGATAATACAACTGCACAAGAGATCAAAATCACAGTATGCTTAAGTGACCCTCCGACCCCAGCTATCCAGCCCTTTGTTTGGGAACAAATTACAAAAATTACGACGAACTATAAAAAACAATTTGCCACTGCAATGTGCATAGTCCTCTAAACCTGAAATATAAACAAGTAAACCACATTCCACACTAATAATTAAGGGAGGCAAGATGATCCTTGTGCGACACTCACAAGTCACAAGTTTTAAATAGAGGTAAAAGTTCATTCTTGAACAAGTAATTACCTCATTTAATCAACATATCCCATTTGTAGTAATCACTATCCCATATTCATGTTTTACTCCTAATCTCTATTTAGTTCCTTGTTAATTTTCTCATAGGTTTTTATGTGTTTAGTATCAGAAAAGTTCATTTTCTCATGAGTCTATATTTTCCGCGAAACAGCTCTAACAAATTTCATAGGAAAAATAGAAAAATCTCAAGTACTCCATGGCGTTCCCAAATTTTATAGTCAAACTAGTAGGAGTCAGTAATGTGAATCAATAACACTAAACTTCAAATCCAACTAGTTGGTATATCTATGTAGATACCAATTCATGATCATATAGAATAGTCATGCATCAAATTGAGAGTAGTAAAATGTATGGTTTCTCCCTCATTTCACTTCAAACTTTAAAATCTAGCAGACATTTCTAAGTTTTTTTTTCCTCTTTCTAGCATCTTTACGAAAGCACATTCTCTCAAACTTCCTCCTTTATTCGAATTTAAGACTAATTATGCAAACTCACATTTTTAATAACAAAAACAAATACACAAAAGACAGAAGAAGCACCTGAAAGAGGGAATTCATATCATCTTCAGAATGAGTATTACGAGATGAAAGGCGTGCTGAAGTAGCATAAACTACACATAATTTTCTTCCGGCACGAGAACGGTGGCTAAGCCATAGCTTAGCACGCATCAACGTTCGATAATGTGAAGAACTGAAGAAGCGAAATTTTTTCCTTTTTACGGCTGGACTAATGACGCTAGTGACTGCAGACATCAATAAGATAGAGCCCATTTCGTATAACAAGTTTTGACCAATTTCGCAGTTGCTCTTCACTCCATTGAATCAAGATTATGCCGAATTGTACGGAGTGTTGTATCTTTTCTTTTTTTGCAGGTGGAAGTTGAATTACAGCTTGTTTGGATGGTTGTTGCCCATGTTTTTATTATGAATTGTACTGTGTTGTATTGTAGTGTATTTTATTGTATCGTTTTATAATATATTATATTGTATTATTTTATAAATATAATATTTGAATAGATTGCATTGTTTGATGTTGTTAAATAGCATTTTGTTGTTTGGTTTGACTGTATTGTATTGTATGGTAATCGATAAGTTTACTAAAATATACTCAATTATTTAAATATTAAATTTATCAAGAATTACGCATAAAATAATTTAAGAAAATTTCTTTCTACTAATTTATCACTAAATATGTCTTGTAAACAGATTAAGTAATTAAATTCATGCAAATTCTAACAAAATTAGCAATTTTACGTTGGAGTTGGAAGCGGCAGAAGTTCTGGAAAAAAAAAAAAAGGGGGACAAAGACAAAGTAGATTATAGGTGGGAGATTTGGAATTAAAATTAAAAAAAAAAGGTAAAGGGTAAAATAGAATTATGGATTAATAAGTTAGGGCATAATTGGAAAGAAAAATAGGAAACAATCCCACCACACCAAATCGGTTGTTTCAATAAATGGAACTTTTCATTATTCTGGAACAATGGATTTAACCAATTTTTTAAAAGACGTGGGCGTAAGGCGAGGCGTAAGCCCGAGGCACGGGGCGTAAGCCCTATAGGTATTTAATTTTTAATATTTTATAAAATAATATAATTACAGTAAATATTTATAAACAGGTAAAATTGCATAAAAATTGAAGAAAACAATAAATATGTGAAATATATATATGTGCTCCATTCCCACAAAAAACTAGTCAAAACAATCTATTATACGTATTTACAAGCACAAGTAACTTGAGTCTAAAAGAATAAAGTTTTCTATATGGAGAAACAAAAAGGATGACTACCCTGCAATTTGAACTTTGAACTTGATGCTATGAAAGAGAATGGAGTTCTCTTTGTATTTGTAAAAAAAAAATTGAATATTTGTTGCTTTTGGGAGATATTAGCAGACTAGCGGACAAGATAAAAAATTAGAAAAGACCATGAATTAGGGCTTTAATCTATAAAAAAAAAGGTTTTAAACTTTTAAATTTAACACATTTCAGTTCTTTTTTAAAACTTTTGAATAATTATCAAGCCGACTTTTGAGAATTTGGGTCTTATATGAAAGACTTATTCAACAATTTTTGTTTTAATTTGAAAAAGTCTTTGGGCTTACGCCTCAATAAAAACAATGCACCTCAAACGCTCGGGAGTACGTCCCGAATTGCTGGGCGTACGACTCTTGAGACTTTCGCCCCACACCATTGCTACGGGGTGTTTTTGGTGTGCCTCGCCTCAGGGCTCGCCCCGAAAATGCCTTTTAAAATACTGAATTTAATAGTACAATAAAATCAATTTTAATGAAACAATCAAAATAAATATTATTTTAAAATAATAATACAATTTGTTTTGGGTTAACAATACAATAGGAAGCAACGAGTAACAACCATATAGAGTTGGAAACAAAGTGGTCTTATTATTTCCACGTGTGTATACTTTTTGGGGCAAATGAAATACAGTACTCCCTGCCTCATAATTTATGTGACATGTTTAATTGGGCTTGGAGTTTAATAAAGATAATTGTTAAAATGTAGGGAAAATTACGCGATATATCAAGCATTTACATTATATTTATTATTTGTAACTATACGTTCAGCAAATTTATCATTCGTAGTTATATTTAAATTTTATAGCAAATTCAAAAAATAAGAGATTAATTATTTTGAACTGAAATAGAGCAACAAGCTCTCATAGCTCAATTGGTTAGAGTGCTTGCTTAGCTAGTAAAGGTCTTGAGTTTGAATCTCAACAAGAATATTTTATTTTTTTGTATTTCTGTATTACAATTGCACGAATGAATATAACTGTAGTGATAATTAGATAAATTATAATTATTAGGCTGTAAACTATAGTGATTTATAAAAATTTCTAATTATTTTGTTATTCAATCTTAGGTTCACCGTCTCTTAAGGTGTTGGGACAAGTTCAGAAGTCTCACGATGCATCAGATTGTCATATAACTTGCCCAAAAGAACATCAGATATGTTATAATGGAACTTGTGCTTGCATAAACCAACAAGAATATCTTGCTGGAGCTGGTTCATTAAACAAGCCTACTCATATGCATTGACGGATGTAGAGTATAGTTATTGGGTTTTCGGAAACTCAGTGATCCTGTATTTTTATTAAAAATTTCATTAAATATCTATAAATATATAACTGTAAACTCAGTTATTATTGTATATTAACTTGAGATTACAATAGTAACTCATAAACTTCAAATTTTAAATCGGTCTATGCTCATATGCAACACCGATCGTGACTGAAAAAAATGTCTATAAGATTGTTTGGGTGAAAACCCGTATAGGGTTGTCAGAATTAAAAAATCAAGACATTATAAGGAAGTAGTATACGATTATGTCCTATTTTATATTTTAACATATACAAAGATTGTTACTCCACCCCCTCTACAAAGAAATATGTCGATTTGGTAAGTACTTATTTTGAACAAACAAAAAAAAAGAGACTAAGTGGATACTTTTTTTGAACCGAAGAGAATGATAATTTAATTCTAAACATTCTACTTATAATTTATCGTCACATATTTTTCTGTGACTTGGATCATAAATTTTAAAGGAATTTTGCTGAAAGTATAGCTAAGAATGGTAATAGAATATAAATATTTGATGTGTCGCTTAATTTTTCCAAAATTAAACATAAGAAATGATTATTACATAATGACTTTAAGTTATATATAATGACATTATAAAAAATATTTACATAAGCAAATCAAGTATAAAATAGTGACAAGCAAAATTCCTATAATAAGTATAGGGACAACAACAACAACAATAATAATATACCCAGTATTATTTCACACGGGATATGGAGAGGATAGTGTGTACGCAGACCTCACCCCTACCTTGTGATGATAGAGAGTCTGTTTTCAATATACCCTGACTCAAGAAAGCATAACCACCACATTAATAAAAATATAGACAAGAAAGGACAATACCAAAAAGTCATATAAAAGTAAAATAAAAATAAAAAGATAGTAAGGTGATCAACGATGAAAGAAAATAACGATTAGTCATAAAAATCTACTACCAACGTCTCTCTGAGCTGAATTTTCAGCGGAATAAATACAACCTTAAAAATCACCTTTTATAATAATCCAACATCCTTCTTCCGCCATCCACCACCCCAACTACCACTTCACTATCAGAGGCGGACTTATATGTTAAAGTGATGGATTATAAATTTTGACAAAAATTTTATATTTATATATATATATATATATATATATATATATATATATATTAAAAATAATTAATTTAAAGCACTTGTCACCATAAACACTAAAAGTCGAACCGAATACTGTGCCCGCCGCTTAAAAATCGTAGGTTCGCCTCTTTTCACCGCTACCAGAACAATAACAAACCCACTTGAAAACCACCTTTTATAATCATCCAACCTCCTCCTCCTTTCTATTTTCCACATCTCTCTCCTTTTAAATAACTAAATCATTGCAGTCCACTTTAAAGACCATTTCACCAGAAAATCTAATTTTCGGCAATTATATCTTAAAAAGGATTCAATAAGAGTTTGTTCTTATTTGTTAAAACTTTAATGTCTAAATTACATTTTTATTTGAGTTGAAAAAGAATTGGGTTATTAAAGAGTGTTAGATCTGAAGTTTCGTTTGAATCTCTGTTTGAGATGAATAAGGGTGCTCGATCAAAGCTTATAGTTGGGTTCAAAAGCCATAAATTTTAGCATATGAACTTGAAATTATTTGAAAACCCAATACTTTGTGTTTGTGATGGGCATCATTTTTTCAGTTAAGATCTGATTGTGAAAATGGAAAGAGAATAGAGAATAATTGTGATAGGCTAGCTATGAATCTTCACATCTTAATTTGGTTGAGGGCGGTGGTGGTTCTTGCGGCTCCTCCTTCTGTCATAAGGTTGCTGGTTGCCGGAGAATCTAAAACAGAGTAACAAGCAATTTCGAAATGAAACAGACTGGATTTTACCAACAAAAAAAAAGGAATGTTTTTGATCATTTTAAGTTATAAAATTATGGTAATAACTAATTAAGTCTAATTAATTGTATAAATTCCAATTGAAAAATGACACCTGTGCAAATTAATCAGTTTTTAAGCTCAACTTTTTAGCTCACATGCTTTCAAGAGAGTGAGCACACTCTCTGTGCCACATCATCAATCAAAGAGTGTTTTTATTCAGCTTTAAGAAAGTTCAAGGGTGTAATGGGGCTCCTGCAAAATTTAGGTGTATAACTGAGAATCCGAGACAAGTTCAGGGGTAATTTTATGTCTTTTCCCTGTAAATTAATTAGCAACCTCGTAAAACGGTAATTAACATGTTTTTACAAGTTAAAAAAATATTGATAGTGTAACAACTTGATACTTACCGTATGTGCAATTTAAACCCTTAAATAAAAGGCTTAATCAACAAACCAGGAAATATTTAACTTGTAAAAAATTTCATGTTGCCATTATATCAAGATTCAAAGGTTTTTTTTCTTATAAGCCGATGACCAATATAGTGTGGGTTAAGTAATAAATATATTAATTATGTGCATTATCTTTGTCATGACCCAACTTCCACCGGAGCCGAGACGACGCCTAACACTACTAGTTAGGTAAATCAACAATCACACAATAATAACGAATTTGAATAAACATGGTTTAACAAACTCAACAGCGAAAATTCATAAAATAACTGAGTAAACAACCACAATACTGCTACAATCATCCCAAAGATCTGGTGTCAATGAGTACATGAGCACTACTGAGTATCAAAACACAAGACCAAATCCTCGATACAATTGTCTGAATAATAGAAACAGTAATAATAGAAATAATGAAAAAGAACTTCAAGGTCTGCGGACGACATAACAACTAGCTCGTAGTCTCCCAAAAGCTTGTAGCAACAGAACTCTAGAGATCACCTC